AACTTTCCCGTCGCTGGGCTTGTAAATGCAACCGGCAACAGTTGCGCATGTCTGTCCACTTGTGCCTTGCAGCGAGCAGACGAGCGTATGTCACAACTGGTGAGAGCATGGGGTGTGGCGATACAGTGGCGAAGAAGTCGAGTTTGAACTGCGGGCTAAGGATTCGAATCCGCTCAACGGACGTTCCTTGCTGTGACTGTGAATTTCCTTGAGCGGCGAATCAACCCCACGTTGCTTATGCGCAACCAGCCGAGCCGAGAACGGGGGTAGTGAGAGACAGGTAGTAATTCGGTGATTTGTGAAAAATAGCGATCTAATGGTATTCTGCTCTGGTCAGGCCAAAATGGGCGAGGTGTACTGCCATGCTGTCCGATGCGAGTGCCCCTTGTGGCTGTACTTCGCCTTAATCTACCTGATGGCTGACTATCCGGTGCAACAATCAGCACAACGCGTAAACCCCAGTTCCGTTGAAACTGCCGGTTTCGGTCGGTAGGGCTCATCACGCAAAACGAGGCCACTGCTATTCCTTTGCCTTTCCTCGTCAGCTAAAATGTTTTCTCGTTTTATGCCTCCCTTTCTGGCAGTGGCTTGAACCGCTTCAACACGAATCTCCATCAGTGTTTTTCAGCATTACATCGTCCCGTCTTCTACACATTCGATTGATTTTCGGCCAGAAATTTGGAGTCATGTCTTCAGCTTGTCAATAATGGCTACCTTAAAATAAGGAAAAGTAGAAATACCCAAAATATGTAAGTATAGTCTGTCAAGGATAAAGTTATACGTAGAAGGCTGCGCGATCGAAGTCGAAGTTGCGGCGGTTTACGGCCTCTTCAAGCATCGTCAGAAAAATATGTTAGCTGATCAACGGGTGAAGGAAAGCATTTGAACTGTCATCCTCGGACAGAAGGCGTGCAAATGTTTAACCACGCTGCTTATTTGGTGTTACGTAGTCCGTGAATATGGTTCTTTTTCGCGGTGTGTAATCATATACTTATTCCTCCCTTTACACAGATTTGAGTTAAGGACGGGATTGGATGCATCGTTTTTGAAATGTTACCGCCCAGTCAGTTTACGTTCATCAGAGACATCTGTGGAGAGAGGAGAGTACAATTTGTAACACTTCGTCTGGCAACAGACTATAGCCCTTCGATATGACGTTTAAATGACAGCTTCAAGGCATCAAACATTGAGTTTCGTACGCAACGCCTGTCTGAGCAGCCGAACTGGCTTACCTCACGCAGAACTGGGGTCGTTGCAAAGGAAAAAACTTTTATCGAACGGCTGGAATGTTTCCCTTACTCTTGTGAACGATAGATATGTGCCATTCTCTGTTGCGATACAATCGATCAGCAGTGCTTTATGTGTTGAAGGCTATAGCTACAGTCAAGAGAACACCATAAGCATTTAGTTTCCTGCTTTCACGTCAACCGTAGCATTTTTTCATGCATACCAAAGGGACTTCAATCGATTATTTTTCGATATTCAGGCTCTTGCAACTGAGCCCAGGGAGAGAGACACCAAATCTGGACTCACGTCATTACCCTGATGGAATCATATAAATGAAGTAGGTTAACTTAACAATCCAAATAAGCTCAAGACTTGAGAAAATACAGGTCTACCTTGTTGATCAGAACTTACATTGACATAGCATCGGATCGCTGATCTTTACTTATTGAAGTAAACGAACATCGGTGAGTCTCATTATTTGGTTGATAAAGGCTGGAAGCTCCAGTCGAAGCCTACACCCATCAAAACGGTAATTTTTCTGTAGAAATATGTCGGGGTAAAAGTTTTCTATCGAGGTCAAGTTCGTAACGGTGGAGATATCGGTCCCCCTGTGCACTTTCATGCTTCGTGAGAAAATTTATACTGATTGCGTCTCTAATCTCGATTACTGTTCCATTTGTCGGCGTTGTCATACATTTTGTAAACAGCGTCCACCGTTTGTAATTCCCTGTTTCCTTGGTGTGTCTGTCCTTCCACATAATGCCGTTCATTTATGAACGTCAGAATGATGAGTTTTCCCGGCCGGACTTCAAGCCATGACCTCTGCCGATTGAGGTATCCTAATGTAAGTGGTGGTGCATACTCATACGAACTGCTGCTACCGCATTTTATTTCATTATGCCGCCCATTGGGTACTCTGGTAAGGTGTGAGGACGAGAATGCGAAAATAACTTCAGTAATGATAACTAGAAAGTATAATACTGCCATTTTCCATCGAGGCGAAATCTGCAAATAATTGCAAGATTTGCGTAGTTGCTTGCCCGGCTCTTCTGCGCCAAATTTGCTATTAAATTGTGCACGCAGTGGGCAGAAGCCGTGGACGTCAAGCATGAGTTCAATTTGCAGTGGTGTTTCAAGATTCATTCGAATGACCGTTTAGAGCTGAAGGTTTCACACCCTAATTAACGGAAAAATACAGTTTTTCAATAAAATAAAACAACGAAAGAAAAATAAAACAGGAGTCGTGTGGCTTCCTTGTTATCAAAGGCCCTCGCTGTCAAGCTAGGTCGAACTTGATACATAAACACTCATGAAATATTGAACGAAATGGCGAAACGTGCGTTCATTCTGCTGTGGTATTTCAAGCTTGATTCGAATAAAGATTTATCGCTTGGAGGTTTCACCATTTCAAAACACTGACAGAAGGATGCTAATTTTCGTAAAATGCCATGGTGAATGAAGTTACAAAGTGAAGTTCCAAGACTCCATCGTTATCTCCTTGCAAAATGGGTTCGAACAGGCCAAAAATCGTCTCCGGGAGAAATATCAACGCAGTAACGGTACAAGTCATGCACAGATGCTCGGTAATCGTCTAGGGGTTAATCATTGACGGTGAAAGTATACAGAGCAGGCTCCTGTCGACACCTACCGAAGCGCCACCCTACGTTCGCGTTGATGTTCCCCCAATTTCTAGCTTTCGTCTTGCATTGTTCGCGATTGTGACTTCAATTTTTAAGTTCTCGAAGAAAACTTTGGAGGTAAGTGATCGAAGGTGAGGAAGCTGCAGACTAAGGGAACCGCTGATGCCATATAAATGGCATCATGTGTTACAGCTGGTTTACGTGGCATGTTAGCATCCTCCTTTACATAAAAATCAGTTCTACGTGTGCGGCGATCGCTTACCGTCCGTAATTGTGTTTGGCGTAATTAACGAGTTCAGTCCTCTTCCAACAGGGTAGATGGGGTGATGCACGATATGTACAACAGTTTGCAGCGTTGTTCGAGTTCGATCCTGGTGGAGTGAACGTCATTCGTTGTTTGCCTCTCGAATGAACACAAACAATCGCCCCTAGTTCTTCCGTTTAGATTTCTGGTTAGTTTGTTCGTCTGCTACTGATGTATATTTCCTTAACGACGTCAGAAGATTTGTCAGCTCCGTTCACTACGCGCTTCCTCGTTAATCGACTGTGTTGTGAATTTATAGCCTGCCTTCATGCTTACCGTAGCAGCTGGCGAAAATAATGCATTCCACCATATGAAAGCAGTCTTCGAATGACCCAAGAGATCGACTGAATGGTGGATATGGTGATACCAAGGAAGATGGCAAGCCGCTGAGAGCTGACCATGACCAACATGTTGTTAACATACGAAGATGGGACAGCTTTACGGGCAATAATCATCTTCGCGGCAGGTTTATGCGTCTTCAGACTGTCGCAATGGCTTATGAGTCGAATTTCGATTTGATTGGCAGACGTAGGTCAGAGAACGGTGAAGTGGCGGTGTTAAAGTCGCATTAGTAATGAAAATTTATCGTCTGTCCGAGGTCCACAAATGGTATTATTTAGGCGCACTGTTGGGCGTAAAACAAACTACGTGAAGAGGTCGTCCGGTAGAAATCCACCAAGCGAAACGATGGCTTTGAAAACAGTGCCAGCCGGCACCTCTCCCGTTCGTCCTTCATCTCTTTATGCGCAACGAGAGTTCAGCTAAAACGACTGGGTCGATCATGCTTGTCCGTCACTCTGCATACACCGTCTGGTCGTTACCGTATAAGTTTGCCAATGGCCGTGCCATACACAGGTACTAGTCGAGGCGGCAATCGGCCGACCACTCTGTCCAGTGTCACAGGCGTACGTCATGCTGCGGTTAAAGGCGTAGTGAGTGATGTGAGGTTTGGCCAGTAGTCAGTGGTCAGTGGTCAGTCTGTTGGAGCAGCGCGTGAAACGGATGACGACGACAAATCGTTTGGAATACGAAGACCGCTTCGACCGCCGTGGCGCAACGTGTAACAGAGCAGGGCGGCAGCTCGCGTTCGTCGTCACCTAAGTCAGTCAGCAAAGTAGTACTACTGCACATGACACTTCGCATCAGTTGACGTTGACGTTTCATAAGTCTTTGCACAGTCATCAGCGCGTTGTTTCACTACTGCCGGTGCGGCATAGTGCAAACATCGTCTTCGGAGTCGGGGAGGCGACTAACGAACCGGAATCGGAACCGGAACCGGAGCCGGACCCGGAGCTGGACCCGAACCCGAAACGAGGCCTGTTCGTTCCGTCGTTTGGTTCGCCTACCCGGTGAAGGGTGAAGAGGACCGAGGTAGGTGACGGCGCCGGGCTTCTGCGTGTTCACTGTCGCAGCCGCAGCTGTGCGGGTGACCGTGGAATGTCGTGCCACGCAGTCAGTCACTTACAGCAGTGCCTGCTTTGACCGTTCGGTGAGTTCATTCAGACAGAAGTGCGGAAGCCGGCCTGCCCTGGCCTGCCTGGCCTGCCTGGCCTGACCTGGCCTAAATCGTACAAGCC